ATCCAAATGCTTTAAGGATTATTCTAATGTACTTCCATCTCTAAAATGCTGTCTTGGTAGATAGCAACACTGCCAACTTGTCATGTCTAATCCTAAAGCTTCAGAATAAAATCTTGGTTATTTTACTAAATTTCCATTTATCTTACCTTTTACCAACGTTAACTTTCCTCTAGCACTTTAAAGATGAAATTCCACAGTGTTTTGTCCTCCTTATGGAAAGAAATCTATACCACTGTTGTTCTCTGTGGCTAGTGTTTTCCTCTGGCTGCTTTACAAATATTCTCTGATTTGGGTTTTAGTAGTTGATTATAATATACCTGGATGTGAGTTCTTTGAATTTACTGCATTTGGAGTTTTTCTGAGGTATCTGGTTTTATGAGTTCCTATCTTGCATAAAATTTGGGAAATTTTCTGGAATTATTTAATTGCTCTTCTACATCTCTTCTCATTCTGGAATTACAATTAGTCATCTGTTGAACATTTTTAAAATCTCCAAGATGTCCCTGGGGTGGTATTCATATTATTTTAATCTTTTTTTTCTTTCTTTTTCACACTGGATGATTTCTAGTGATATCTTCTGTCATGCTATATTGTATTTCCAAAATTGAATAACAAAATAGTGCAAATTTAGTAGCTTAAAATAATATATATTTACTCTCATGGCTTCTGTGGGTCAAGAGTCTAAGCAAGGTTCAGGTTCTTACAAGACTGCAAATGAAGTGTTGGCTGGGCTGTGTTCTCATCTTGGGAAAAAATTCTAAGCCTGCTCAGATTGTTGGCACATTTATTCTTTGTTGCTTTATGATAAGTGCCTTAGCTTTATGCTGACTAGTGCCAGAAGCCACCTTCAGGTCCAGGAGGTACCTACAGTTTACACCTTATGACCTGCCTCACAGGCTACTCAGACCTGACAGTTTGCTTCAAGGTCAGCACAAGTATATTTGCCTATCTATATTCATACAAGTTCTAATCCTTTCTTAAGGATCTTATTGATTAAATGAGACCTTATCTCATGTTCTGTTTCTTTGATTAACTAAAATCATTTGATTTAGGACTCAATTACATCTATAAAATCATTCACCTTTAACAGATACCAAAATTAACTTACTGGTAACCAGAATTCTCTAATTCTAAAAAAAAACTGTGTAATTCATAAATTGTCCATGCCAAGGGTTAAGAAAAACCAAGTGTGAAGTCTTACATAAAATATATAGACATTCCTATTCCAAGAGATGTATAGCAGGAGTTGATGGCTCAAGCCTTTAATTCTAGGAGCCTCTCAGGAGACTGAGAGCTAAGAACCATGGTTCAAAGCCAGCCTGGGCAGAAAAGTCTGTTTGACTCTTATCTCCAATTAATTACTAAAAACCCAAGTGGAGCTGTGGCTCAAGTGGTAGAGGAGGTCAAGCCCCAGAACTGGTAAACACACATATGCATGCACAAGCACACATGTGTACTCTGTCTCTGTCTCCGTGTGTGTGTCTCTCTCTCTCACACACACAGTTGTTTAATTTTCTGGAAAGGAATGTAACTTCACCAGCTCATACACAAATCTTATTAGTTGGAGGAAGTGTCACTGAATGTGGTTTGGCTAAATCATATAAAGTTTCTCTTCACTCTGAGCTACATATACTGTTCATCTTGGAAAAGATTCCATAAATTCGTATTTCCCTAAATTCAACTGCATAATGTAAAACACTTCATTCAAGACCAACCTTTGACTGGTTACTGCTATCATTCAACATCCTGATCTGAAGTCCACAAAACTGGGATATTTATTTATTTTTGCCAGTTCCTGGTGCTTGAATTCTGGGCCTGGACTTTTGTTCCTGAGCTCCTTTTGTTCAAGATTAGCACTCCATCACTTGAGCTACAGTGTCACTTACAGCTTTTTCTGTGACTAATTGGGGATAAGAGTCACACAGACTTTCCTGTCCAGGCTAGAGAACTGAGGTATTTAAAGGCCCTTTGTGGTGGTATATGTGATTTTGTGCAGCTGAACATAACATACTCAGTTATTCCCTAGGAAATAGTTTTCTTCTTCCTTTGTTTGTTTAGGCAAGAAATTATTGTGGAATATCCAGCATTTTAAGTAATTTTGCTTCAAAGCATGTGTCAGAAAGAATATAGGGAGTTTATGACTTCTCAGTTCTAAATGGTTTCTCAGCTTTGGGTTTCAAGAATTGGTTGTGTATGTGTTTCTTCCCCTCTTCCTGGGACTTAATGTTGTTAGCAACCTCTTGTGTGGTTCTAAGATATACTGACTACTTTGAAACTTTTCCAGGTGTCATTGACACTTTCGTGATCTCTGCAATATAAGCTACATTGTTTAGTGGAGTTATATGAACTTTAGAAATCCTCCATGAGACTATGAATTGACTAACACCCAAGGTAGCATAAACATGCAGACAGAAATGTTCCTAAAACCAATCTTGCTGGGCAATTCAGGATATGACTTAAGAGTCTGGAAAAAGGAACGTTTTGCTCACTTGCCTATCTATGAATAGCTCCAGGTGCAGCTTGAAGCTAAGTGGCTAGTTTTTTAATTCTCAGCTATAACCTCCTATTAGGACACAATAGAATCTGCAATCGTGGATGTAAGAAATTCCGTGAAGACCCTCTGGGCCTATTAAGGCTTCTGGCTTCAGAGGGTCTTAAAACACAGTTACTTCAGCACACACAGATACAGTAAAGAGGCCTGATTATCTTACCTCTGATCTAAGTTTTAGACCAAAGATTATAGCAACTATGGCTATAAAAGTTGCACCAAGAGAATGATGTTACAAATTTAAAAGAAAAGAAAAATGCTTAACAGATACCTGAGTATCTTTCCAATTTATCATTAAAAGATTTGTTAATACAGTTAGGACATTGAAGACAAAGAATTAGGCATCTGAAGATAAAGAATCCCACATTAATCTACCTTTAGACTTACATGGTCTAATGTATAAGAGATTTCTCAGCCCTTCCATAAAACCTCCAGCTATGTTATTTATTCTAATAGACAAATCACACTGCCAAAATAGGGGAGTGAGATAATGCTGTGGAAAAATAATACTACTTACATAGAAAATTAAAGCAAAGTCTACTTATCTATTAAATATGTATAACAATAAACTATGTAGGGATGTTGTAAAAATAAACTAGTAATACATACAAAAAAGCCTTGGAAGTATACAAATAGGTATAAATATGAAAGGTATAGTGAGGACAGTGGTCATGCATTCTTCTCTTTTTTTTTGTTGGTCATGGGGCTTGAACTCTGGGCCTGAGCACTGTTCCTCAGCTCTTCAGCTCAAGGTTAGTGCTGTACCACTTGAGCTATAGCGCCCCTTCTGGTTTTCTGGTGGTTTATTGGAAATAAGAGTTTCATGGACTTTCCTGCCTGGGCTGGCTTTGAACCAAGATCCTCAGATCTCAGCCTTCTGAGTAGCTAGGATTACAGGTGTGAGCCACCGGCACCCAGCTCCATGTATTCTTCTTGTCCATTCATCTCTTCCCCACCCAGAAACTCTACAATGGCTGTTCTCATGATCAGCCTTTCCCTGTGGTTCCAGTGTCCAAGGAGCTCTACTAGCTCCACATGACTATATAAAGGGTAAAGCTTTCTCATCTTTACTTTCTGTGGGAAACCTTCAGAACATCTACAGGGCTACACAGCCAGTTTTTCAGGGACTACAGATATGTGGGCTTTTTATTTTGGTCTAAATATCTGTATGCAATCAATTAGAAAAAATTATTAGAAAAATTAGAAAAAATAACAAAAGAAACTTATTTTTTAAATAAACAAACTCTTTTAAGTATAGGGCAAACAACTTAAAAACTGTATCACATGGAAAAATTTCATGAGGAAAATAAAAATAAGAGCATATGATTCACCCTAAAATAAGGCACTATCACACTGTACAAGGAACTTTTATAAGAATTTGTATTTAAAAAGATTTTTGTAGTTTCAATGTCTTATTGGATTATTTGAATTTAATAAATATACTTAAATAAGAAATATTACATTGTATGCACTTTTTCAAATTTTGTAACAGCAGTGAGGCAATTTGATGAAAAAAACAAGTAAGTAGGAGAAGGAGGAAAATGGAGCCTGAGGGTATATAACATGTTCTAAAGCTGGTCTGTAGAAAACTTTTCCACATGGAAAAGTTGCTCTCTAATCTAATGACTTTCTTTTAATCACAAGCAGAAAGTAGTTTCCTTATTAACCAGTGTTTTAGAAATACATTATTCTTGAAACTACTTCCTAGGATTTCTTTCACTCATTTAAAGGCCACATCTTTGTATTTAATTTATCCTTATATTATCCCTGCAGGGAACACCTCTCTAATTATTTCCATGTAAAATGACAGCAAAATAGGATTATACTACTTGGGAAACAGACAACCTTTGGTATGTCTTTTCTTGGTATTCCCTTTGGCATAGTTTGTCATTGTGCTCACTGAGTCACAGTCTGCAGAGTCAGACTGAGACTTTCCTGTCTTTGCATTTCCAATGCCTAGCAGGTACCTGGTATGGAAAACAAAATAAATAGAAGAAATCCTGAACACATGAGTGAATAACAGTACCCAACACAAAATTGTTAATATACACCAAGCACTACTCTACGTATCTTAATACATATTAGTTCAATTAGTCCTTACAATCTGAGGAACAGATACTATTTTTATTCCCATTCTCATATAAAAACACTGGAGCAAAAAAGGTTAGGTTCCACAAAGCCAGGACCCAGACCTACATGCTTTGGCTCTATAGTCTAATCTGTACCACCCCACTTACTGCTGTGCCAGGACTGAGGCTCAGCAAGAATTGCTCACTTCAGGAAAAACACAGGTGCACTGGGCTCTACTTCTGGGTTTCTGTCAGATGGAACTACATGGTGTGGTTCCTTGGGAGGGTAATGCTGGAAAATAACTGACATGGGCACACAAATGCAGAATAAATGAATTCCAACCTTAACAATTGCTGAATTTGAAAGGCTGTTTCTCAAATACCTGTGGGGATTTGTGAGAGCGCCAGCTGTACTGGTGACTATGGAGACTTGCCAGCAGAATATTTTCATCACTATCCACCTGGCCAAACCGCAGTGTCTCCTGTGTGTCATTACAGATCACAAAGTGGCTGAAGACCAACTCCTCTACCTCAGGGCATTTGTTCTGAAAGAAAAAGAACATGAAAGCCAACGTGTATCAGATTAATTGCAAGATGTTTGGCAGCTGTCTGCCCAGTGGCCATTGTTACAACCCAGAAACCCTAAAGGATCTGTTGTCATTAGCTCTGGTATACAAGGCATTTCATACTTCCAGGATAATCACATGAAAATACCTTAAAGAGATCATAAATGTTCCAAGAGTATGTTTTGACTTATACTCCAACAAAATAAATCATATGCACAGAAGAGTAAAAGAACAATGAGATCCCACAAACTTTTTACATTTCTCAAAATGAATTAACATGCCTTGAAGAATGCTGTACTGGGAAGAGTAAGTTTTGAACAGAGTACAAGAGGCTAGAATTACCATGTTCCTGGCCCTCTACACTTAACAATCAAGACCAATTACCAAAGCCACAGTTTGTACCCTACAGAAAGTAAGGATCATTTAGGTAATACATTCCCAGATCTCTTAAGGGTGTGTGTGTGTGTGTCTCAGGAAGAGATGAAAATAAAACTACAACTTTCCCTCTATTGTTAGGAGGCTGAACACACAAAACAGATCAACTCAAGAGCAAGTTTAAGTCAAGATGGTTTTCCAGAAGAATAGTGTTAGCTGAAAAACAGTAGTACCTGTGTCAGCTAATAGTCATCAATTTGTTAACATCTTTAATAAATCAGCTAAGGTTCAGCAAATTAATATTTTGTTCCTGTATGGATTACTCTTTCTCAACCTCATGGGCTCTCCATTATAGCAAAATACTAATGAAGTAATACAGTAATTCTAGGCTTATATTTTTATCAGTCTGGTTAGGCTACAGCCTAAAAACAATAAACATGACGTTGATATGCTGAGAGCATAGTCGAATAAATGATCAACTTCAAGATATCAGAAAAAAATAACTTGGCTAATCAGTTTGTAAAAAATGGGAGATCATATACAATGAATATTCTACAAATGGCCTCTATTTCCTGACTGTGGATCTATGGCCAAACTCTATATTTTGTCACCTTTTTGAAGGGAGGAAGATTAAAAGGTGATACAACCCAGAAGTACAGTAATTCAAGGGACTAAGAGGTACGAAGCCAAAGAGATTATGAATGATGTAACTGGAATCCAACTAGTATGGAGACCAGTCTTAGAATCTTATCAGGGAACAGAGAACAGAGTAATCTTTGGAAACAGAATACAGTCTTCGACATGCCAAAAGCCTCTGATGTGGGAGGCAATGCTCCCTGGTGAGGATGTCATGACAGGATGCATTCTTCCAGAGCCCTCAAGGAGTTCTAGGCCCTCTTTCTGTCATCCATTCATTGCTGCTGAATTCAACTCTTAAACAGCTGAACCTTGCTGGACAGCTAAACTAGTCACCAAAAAGAATCTGGCTGAGACCAAAGTGCTTATAACCAATTACTACTTGCTGTCTACTATAGTGCTCTCTGCTTTTACTTATTAGCTGTGAGTTCGAATTTTGCTTGCTATTGGGTTTCAGATATTCCAGTCTGACTTGGCTGCTGCCTACAGCTCTGGCTATATTTAAATCCTCTCCCCATTTGCTGAGAAAACCCTCAGCTCTTCCAACACATCCTACATCCAAAATGGCAAACTGCTTCCTTTAGTGGCATCCCACTGCTAGGACCTCTTTCTTTCAACCTCTTTCCCTTTGTAGGCTATTTCCCAAGTGATACTTGACATTTCCCCTTCAGACTAATTGTTAGTCTGTATCATCATTAGATTGTTTCAACAGGTATGGATCAGACTTATATTATTTACAATTTTATCTCTGGCATTCAACCTAATGCTTGACACATGAGTACTCAACAAACACTTAGGAAATAAAAACCAGGAAGATTGTTTTTGATAGTACTGAGAACTGAATCCAGGGCTTTGTATATATCAAGCAAACACTTTACCATTGAGCTTCAATCCCAGTCAAATGAAAAAAAAAAAAACTTACAATAACAATATATGTTTACTATACAAAAATTAGAAAATATAGGAAGAGTATTTTTAACTTTATATTTAATTGCAATTGCTATTAACATTTTGATGAATTTTCTTCAAGTAGTTTTTCTCTTCTGAATCTTCTGTTACTAAAGTCTGCTGTATCTAGTCCTATCTTAAATATCTACAAACTTTTAATCAAACTGAAATCATAGTGTATAATTACTTTTGGTGTGACTTTTCCATTTACTACTATATAATCAACTGTTCTCCTTATAAACATTTTTTCTCCTTTCCATCTATGAGTACAAATGTGAAGGAAAGGATAGGATTCCAATTATTTCCTGAGATTTAAATAAATTTAAATAAATTTCTTCTATTATATCTAAAAAACTGACTTTTAATAAATGATGAACATTTTAAGAAAAATGTAAATTGAAGGACACAAGGGATTTGTTTACATATTTCTAAAGACTACTCAAAGTCCTTAGGGAATTGTTTCTCTATTCTTCCTTCATCTATGGAGTTTATTATAACTAATAAGCGTTAATACTTCTTGGAATGTTTTATTTCATTTTTTTTAAAAACCTCTCATACATAGTTAATGTATACTTAATCCCAGAATGCTTTTGAGAATCTGTAGGTAAAAGATGGCTTATTTATATTACAATTTCATGGCATGTAATATAGGCATTTGCAAATCAATAGAGATACTGTTTTGGTATAAGGGAAGACATATGAATACAACCTTGGTTTATAAAACAATCCTTTAAAATGTTATTTTAAATAAATCAATGACATAGAATTATAAACCTAACTGGAAGTGGCATTTTGGATCCTTAAGCCTAATCTGTGGTCATCACTCATAAGAGAGAAAAAAAATTACTGCTAGAGAAATCAATCACTTATGAGAAATTCGTTAATTTTGAACTCATGATCCAAAGGTGAAAGACCAAATTATTTCATATCTCAAATTTCTGATCTATCTATACTGGGTAAAAATGACTAAAGAGGATAAATTATATTCTGATACATTAGAAGTAGTGAACTTAATAAACTTCTATCAGCCCATTTCAATATCAAATGTGTTACAGTTTCAAAGTAGTAAACTTCATATTTACTTTAGAGTACACAGGATTAGATGCCTATACCACATTAAAACTTGGTGGCAAGTACCCTTGACATGGGAGGAAACAAGAAAATTACAGCAACAATTACAGAAGTATATCCTCTTGTGGCTCATGTTAACTGCCAAATCCCTGTATAAATCAGAACCAACTATTCATAGAATGTACCTGTCAGCAATATGCTATGTGACATATGGCTCTACTTAATCAAATATACAATGCTTAAAAAAAACTCAAAATATTCCTTCAAGGCACTGTGTTAGCCAGTCAGTCACTCACACTGTGATGTGGTTTAAAACATTTAAATATTTATGTACTATATTTTATTTATATGTATAGCTATGTGTAAAAGAACTTTCTTTTTACCCTCGAAGGAAACTGATATTTTTGAAGGCCATTTTTCAGTAGTTGCTACATATGAGTCCTCTTATAATGGCCCTGATACCAAGACAAAAATATCCTAGGTTTAAATGCTCTATCAATGACTCTTTTATATTTTCTAGGTTTGTTTTGTATTAAATGCATTGTTCAAAATATGACAAAAAAACAGAAATTGGAGCCATGGAGGTTTTTTTTTTTCACATTGCTATTTGAACCAGCTGCAAAGATTTAGATCACACTAGCTCTTATTTTACGCATGTCCTTTGCAACAAGAAAACCATGGAATGCCCTTAAAAAAGACTTTTAAAATATAAAACAGATGTGTTATCTTCTTTCCTTTTGCTATTATAGTACCATGTTAGGTAATTAATTCCTTAGTCTTGCATAGGTCTTCATGCATATAAAAAACATTAAATTTTATTTCCATAAAATTGGATTCTTATAAAAATTCTTAGGTTAGAAAACTAAAACTTGTTTAAAAATTATTTATTTTATAAAATCTACTTCCACAAAACTTTTTTATTCTCATAAAAGTCCCCCAAAGTCTGTTAGCTTATTCCCACTAAAATTTATAAGTTACAAAAATAAGAGTCTCTTCCTCCATTCTCTGCTGCGCATCTCAAAACAAGGTCGCTGTAGGAGGAAAACCCATTCTTTCTGGGGACCAGCCACACATATGGGTCTGCAACATGCATAAAACATGGATAAGTGTCTCAGCTCAAATAACAGCCAAACTGATGGAAATACAATAGAACATTTAAAGTAAGTAAAGAAGCAGTTCTGATTTGTTGTTAAATTGCTGAATCTATCATCATCCAAACATTTTGTCATATCAGCTTTCCCATTTAGGATAGACTTACACTTCATCTCTTTTTTGATTAAAATACTTTGTCATATGAGGTACAAATAAAATATTATTAATCAAGAGTTCCTAACTGATCCTAAAATGCATTATGCAATGCTTTTTAGTAAACTGAAAAGGCAGAATGAGAGTAAAGGAGAAGATTAAGACTATAGTGCACTCAAATTCCATGTTACTGTTTTTCTTTTTGTTGTTAAAAAGCTGGAATGGTTATTATCAGAAAGGCTCATACAGGTTCTTTATTTCTGAGAAAAACACTAAGTTTAATACATAGTTAAGCTGAAGTTTTAGCAAAATAATGTTACTTGAAATTTTTTTCTGGGAATATGTTATTTTCCACATTAGTCATAAAAATGTGGGCACGACCTCTAATGAATGTATATAGAACCTATGTTCTCCAAAGTTCTTATAATATATAGATCACTTTGTCAAAACAGGGAAGATCTCACATACTATGGTCCCTATCAAGTCTGTATTCGTTTACATTTTTGCTTGTCTTTTAACTTATAATTAGTAGTAATATATAGCATCAAATAAAAGATCACATACATCCAAATTGTAAACTTTCTGGAGTGTGCATACCTGTTGCCAAGCCTGTAGAGCAGTATTTAGAGAATGAACTACGTGCTGTCCAAAGTTTACAAACACGGAGTCCACCGTCATGGTACAATCAAGCATCTTATTCACTGCATCACTGGAAAGCTCAATTTGTCCAAAGACGCTGAAAGGTTTCACCACACTTTGCATTGTGACATTTCTACACTCTAGAAGCTTACAATCCACTTGAGCTGAGAACCGGATTTCCTGGCAGACAGAACTACTACTCCACTGTCGAAGATACATCTGTGGTTCTCTGAAGGAAATGATCATATATTCTAGTTCAGATGGCACATTTTTATCAGAAATAAATGGCTTTAGAAACTGTGGCGAAGCTGTTGAGAAAACAAATGTATTTGTTTTTGTTATTGACTTTAATATTTAGTATTTAATAAATTCAAAATTCTCGTAAAGATACTAAAATATTTGAGTTGCTATTTGATATTTACAACTGAATTGTTTTGTTCAATCAGGTCTTTTACATGTATAGTGACCAAAGGTTACTTTCACTTTGACAGACAAAAATATTTAATTACAGAAGACAGAAGAAACAACTATCTAGGTCTGCATCTACCAACAAAATTTCAACAATAACAACATGACGCAAAGGTTAGAAAGGCAGGTTTAAACACTATTTTTGCTGAAAAAGCAAGATACTGAACAGTAAGTATGCTTGGTTTTAATCTGCATTTCTTTCTCTTTTTCCATTATGTGTAGTTCAATACCTAAATTCAAAATCTGTTAACTAAACAAAGTTTGGTATAGAATATAATGCTTTAGAAATAGTTATTCAAGTAACATTAACAAATTTATAAAAGGCCACTTTGGGTATGTTTCTATCTAAACTTGCATAAATATGATTTTTTAAAATTAATTGAGAATATGCCTATCATTCATATTTATTGAAATCAATATATATTATATAATATTCAATATTTATTTATTTAGATTATTCATTGATTATATGTAAACTTTAAAATTATATAATTTAAAATTATTGGTTCAATATATATTTAATGAAATCAAGCAATATCAAACACTTTGGAGTCTATTTGCCACTAATATCATATATGTAACAAAAACATGTGCTTCTTTAAAAAAGATAATAAACTTACATTTTTTAAGCTTTACTTAAAACGTCTCACTAGGAAGCAGGGGAAATGTCATTTAAATACCATTGGTAAATAGTGCATAAGCTCATTCAGAAATTAAATGGGAGTAAGGTGTCGGTAGCTTATGCCTGTAATCCTTGCTACTCAGGAGGCTGAAATCTGAGAATCGGTTTGAAATCAGTCCTGGCAGACAAATGAGACTTTTATCTCTAATTTACCAGTAAAAATGTAGAAATGAAGGTAGGGCTCAAGTGGTGGAGCACCAGCTGTGAGTAAAAAAGTCCAGTGAGATCACAAGTCTTGGGGTTCAAGTTTAAGTAGTAGCATCTGTGCATCCATGTTTGTGTGAGTGTGTCCATGCATGTGAACACACACACAAACACACAAACACATACACACACACACACACACACACAGTTAAAGGGGTACTCTAGTTGTACTAGATACTTCAGAATAACTTTACTCATTTCATAACTTCCTGAAAATAAATTAGCTGGTAAAAATTGCTAGACAGTGTCCCGAGAACACACAAAAGAAAATAGTATTAAGTCGATGATACCCTAAAAGGAATACCTGTGCCTAGTTGATCAAGGTGATGACAAAGATGGAACTCCATGTGAGTGAACTGAAAGGACATGCAAAGAGATGGGACAAACCATGGGGAAAAACAGGAGTCAACTCTAGTACAGGCGGCCAGAGCTGTTGGAGTAACAAGTTGATCACAAGTGCTTTGAGAACCAGATTCACTTGCAGAGCTATGGAGGAAAAAATGAAACAAGTTCAATAACCTAAACGTCCCCAAATCACGTAAGTACAATGACATTCTTTAAAAGCTTTTAAAGCTAGAACTCAAAACCCTGTATAGTTTTAATCATCAAGTGTACACAAATTCACACACATTGATATTCTTCTTAAATTCAGTTCATGTTGAATATGCCATATAGATTGCTGACAAAAAAAATCTTTCAAAACACTCCTTAGTCATTAGGTCATATTGACTTACTCCTAACCCAATTTTCTTCCATATACACCTCACAAAACTTCTGAACAATTGGGTCTCATTAAGGCCAACACAAATCACAATGTGTGCTGCTAAAAAATTCAGTATTTTTAGTATCAATATAAACATTTCACTTTTGTTTTATTTCTTCTGATTGTCCAAACACTAATTCCCATGAGTTAATCAATTATAATACACCAAAATATTAATTATTTTATAGTTACAGTATATGCAAAGAATGAGGATCTCACTGAAAATTACACTTCATGGGTTTTCATTTAACTTGCTTGTCCTTTTAACACTATTTTATGTAAGTGTGATTAAAATAAAAAGTGAAGGTATCAAAAAGTTAAAAAAACAGGACAATCACAAAGTAATTTGAAAAAATATTAGATACAGAGGAATTAACCTTGTCCTGGATGCTTCTTTCAGTGATGAAAATGTACTCTTCCAAAATTAAAATCAAAAATGATTTCTAACTTACAGATGAAAAAAATCAACTTTATTATCTATTTTATTTTTTGAGATGTCCTGATTTCTAATGAGACAACCTATACGTAGAAAAAAATCTGGCTATCTGTCGATCCCTGTAGAATCGATGTTCTTTATTTTTATTACTATAATACGGTAACAATCAAGATCATGCTGGTCTAACATATTTTCACTAATATTATATTGCCAGATAGTGTACTAGGAAGGCAATTATTATTTTTAAAGAGCCCAGATGGCCTTGAAATGGAGTTGATAAAGTATAAACACATTGCTACTCCTGCACATACCAATTATCATTGAAGAACTCTAAGGCTAGACCAAAATGTTAACAGGAGTTATTTCACTGTGATATGGTTACAGACGGTATTATTTACTTTTCAAATGTTTTCAATAAATATATACAATTCGTAAACAATAACTTCACAAGAAAAAGCATCTGCGATTTAATTAGTATATCAATTCTTTATTATTTAATTTATTTGGCAGTTTTATGGGCTAAACTCAGGGCCTCACATTTGCTAGGCAGAAGTTCTACCACTTCAGCTGTACCTCCAGACCTTTTTGATTTGTATTTTTTTAAAAGAGGGTATTGTTTATTTTGTTTGGGCCCAAAATTGGCCTTGGACTGTAATCCTCCTACCTATGCTTGTTATCTGGCTATGATGCAGACATATTCCACTAATCCCAGCCTTTTAATTTATTTGCAATAAAAAGTAGGAACCAATACGAAGTTGTACACTATGATTATAATATGTGTTGTCGTATATATATTTATATAGAAAAAACAAAAAAGAGATTTACTTTTTATGACAAAGGCTTTTGTCTTTTTTTTTTTTTGGTTCCGGTCGTGGGTCCTGAACTCTGGGTCTGGGTGCTGTCCCTCAGCTCTTCAGCTCAAGGATAGCGTTCTACCACTTGAGCCACAGCGCCACTTCCAGCTTTTTTCTTTCTGCTTATGTGGTGCTGAGGAATCGAACCCAGGGCCTCATGCATGCAAGCAAGCACTCTACCACTAAGCCACCTTCCCAGCCCCGCTTTTGTCTTTTTTAAAGACAAAAAGATGACTTCACTTTTAATGTCTCACGGTTACATTATATATATGATTTACTATATCAGAGTCTATTGAGGTATAGATAAATCTATTTCTATATTTTTGGATTCAGTATAATAGATTTGTTTTGCTTTCCTTTTATGTATCTTTTAAAACATTTGAGGGAAGACTTTCTGTAGCTTTTTTTTTTCCTTTTTTTTCCCCCAGGGCTGAGGACTGAACCCAGGGCCTTGCACACGCCGGGCAGGCGCCCTTCCACTGGGCTAAACTCTCCCTGAGTACTTAACGGGCTGAAATATGAGTAAAACACAGGACTTCAAGTATACAAACTGAAAAATCTTGGTTCTCTTCTGTAGTTCAGGCACATTCAGGTACTGGACAGACAAGCTATAAGTAACTGGTAAGAGAAATTTATTTGGTAATTATTTTCTAATGCAATGTTATTACCTCTCTCATTTTTTTTTCTGAGTTACCTTTGATCATCAGCTCCATTTTGATTATTGTTCAAGACAATTCGCCAAAGATCGGAGGATACCAGTTTCTTCTGATCATTTACAAGATTGATATCTGGCAACTGCAGATCACAAACTTTGCTTTCAGATAGACTAAATTCTCGATACGCAACAAAAACCTTCTGAAGTTCATCCCAGTATTCCAAACTACAAGGAACCTAAATTAAAATAAAGTTGTAAATGTCAACTATGCCTTGTACTTGTTGAAATGCAAATTAAATTTTCACAAACATTTTAATATTAAGGCTTTTAAAGGAAAATTTGCTTATAAAATACAATGGGGTAGGATTTTTTCAAGTTATATTTACTTTGTATACCTTAAAAGACTTACTCAAAGATGTGCATGTGGTATGTATCTGTAATGCTAGCCCTCAGAGGCCAAGACAGGAGGACTGTGAGTTCAAAGTCAGTCTGAACTACTAGCTCAACTCTATCTCAAAAAAGAAAAGAGATCCACTCAACAGCAATATATAAAAACAACCAACTTCCTATAAAAAATAATTGGAACAAATTTAACAACTGTTAACTACATAAGTTCCAAAGAACCAAAATGACAAAGGCTAACAAAGTGAAAGCATAAGAGGAAAGAAAGCTGGCATGTTTTTATTTTATAAAAGGAGAATATTTCTATATATTCAAAGAAACACGTGAATGGGGAATAAACTTTCAAATGATAAAAAAGGAACTTAAAGAAACAAGCGAGGATAAAAATATTAATGACAAATTAAGAGCTACTTTCCTGATAGCAGAGCTTTTGTAAATTGTTGAGAATGAACAAGTAAACATATGAAGGTATGTACATTTGCCGTAAATGAGCTACCCTTGTCAAGTTCCAAAGTCCTCAATAGTGCCAAACATCTACTGAATGCACAGTAACTCCTATGGCCTTTCTGCCTAACTTTGTGTTACTTGGGGCACTGAGAACCAATGCAGCTACATTTATGCTGTTGCTGTGCTATTAGCAATGGAGTTCTTGCTTTTTTGTCCATCAGTCTTATGTCTTCTCCTAGCATCGATGAAACACTAATGTTCAAACTAACTTCAAATGGAAATAAGTTTCTCATCTGGAAAAAGTAACTTGAACATTCAAGATTGAAAAGATACAAGATGGACTAAAGGAGAAGAAACAAAAATGCCTAATGGTGTGATGAAACAGAGACAGGAGTTCTCAGTATTGGTAACATGTTCACAGTACGGACTTTTAGCTACCACTTCTTGAAATTCTTTTTTTTTTCTTTTCTGTTTTTGCTATCCATAGCAGAATTTTCTAGGTCATGATTTCTATATTCTCTTTCAGCCTGAAATACTGGTATATTCCTCTTTCTTTCTCATTGTCCATGCCTAAATCCTTCCCATCTGTCTAGGACCAACTCAAATGCTACCTTTCTCTGAACCTTTTCACCTCTCCAGATGGAAAAACCCTCTTTCTTTTCTGAAAGCCATTAGAATTTTTTTAAGGAAACCTGTTTTTATAGCTCTTATCACTGTATACTTCATGCTATAGTTATTTCTATTCATGACATCTTCCATGGTAGAAACATTCTTTGAGGGAATGATTTCCATTTGGCTAAACTTTGGATTTTCACAGCACGTGGCAGATTACATATAGAAAATGTTAAAAAGAATAGTTGGTGAATGAATGAATGAATAATTCACAGATGAAAGAAGGGAATCAGCCGGTATCTGGCACATTAATGATTCTCCTCAAAGAAATATAGAAGATAAAATCATAACTATTGGAATTAAAACCTATTAGGACTCGAATCCTAGCTCCATTAGGCATTTGAATCTTCCAAGGATTTGAATTATAGGTCCACTTAATTTGAGGAAACTAAGATTTCTAACCTTAGTTCTTATATTTCTAAAAATTAGATAACAGAGCTAATTTCTTTTTGTGTGTGTGTGTGAGGGTCAGTTGTGGGGCTTGAACTCTGGGCCTGGGTGCTGTCCCTGAGCATTTCAGCTCAAGGCTAGTGCTCTACCACTTTGAGTCACAGGGCCACTTCTAGGATCCTGGGGTTAATTAGATATAAGAGTCTCACAGACTTTCCTGCAGGCTGGCTTTGAACCGCAATTCTCAGATCTCAACCTCTTGAGTAGCTAGGATTTCAGGCGTAAGCCACTAGCACCCAGCATCTCAAAAATTTTTGTAGGAACTCATCTTCCTAATGCTCTAAGAACAGTTCTGAAGCTTCTGTGTTATGGCTGGAAACCTCTAAGCGTTCTGTTTATTAGATTTCTTTACAATGGATTGGGCTTGTACAGAGAAAATAAACCTGGAACCTGTATATTCAGGAACACTGTAACCACAGTTCAACATTATTTTCTGCTGTGTAACTGGCTAACACTGGACCTTTATATATACTATTACTTAGGAGAAAAAGGCTGATTGCTTAGTTCCTCTTTTGACTGTAAGTTGAGCTTACCTTTTGGTTTAAGAGACTTTTTTTTTTTGCCAGTCATGGGGCCTGAACTCTGGGCTTGGGCACTATCCCTAAACTCTTCAGCTCAAGGCTAGTACCACTTGAGCCACAGCGCCACTTCCGGCTTTTTCTGCTTATGTGGCGCTGAGGAATTGAACCCAGGGCCACACGCATGCAAGACAAACACTCAACCACTTAGCCACCTTCCCAGCCCCTAAGGGACTTTTTACCAAGGGTAGAAGAGATGAAAATGAGGTAAGAATGCTACAGTCACATAAGAATCTCGATGGAAGAAGCAAAGGAGGTGAGTAAAAGCATAGTAGCATACTTATTTTTTTGTGTGACATAAATAATGGAATGCTACATTCAACATAATAGTGGTGAAGATGTTATACAGAAAATAGGGTGGAAAACTGTTTCTAGCATTGTTCCCAAAATTCTACACTGAAGTTAATGTACAATAACTAATGAAAATTAGCTGTCATACTGGAAAGCTGAGTAAAACTGTAAGGAAAAAAAGTATGAACATGCTTTAATTATTAGTGAATATTAATAGTGTATACAATTAAATGTTGTTGCAGCCAGCATGTAATATTAAGAAGTCCAACCTAGGAGCCACTGTGGGAACTATTTGTTAGTTGTTAGGTAAGGGGCAAGAAAAGTTTGTGAAACTTATATCTTCAATTAACCAGCAAAATCAGGAAGTGGAAGTGTGGTTTAAGTGGTAGGATGCCAGCTTTGAGAGAGAGAGTAAACACTAAGACTGGGGAAAAGAATAATTGTGCAAGTGAAAAAAAAACCAAGAAAATAAAAAATACAAAAGAAATAAATATGGAGGAAAGCCAAAGAAAACTTTTAGTTCACAACTTGTGGGAGACTCAATTGAGGTTACATACCTCAACTGGAACATTCCAGGCTACTCTGAAAACTCAGAAACAACAGAAAACTACAAAAACATATCTCAATACATTCCAGTTATGTGTTTGTCAGAACTTTATTTTATGTACCCTATTTTTATTGCTTAAGATAAAGGTATTAATACATTGGCTCCAAATGAACTCTCTGCTGAGAAAAGGTAAAATTGTATGACTATCTGTAAATTTTACAAAAGTCACACATTTATCCTTTTTTCCCATTGTAAGAATATTTGTATTCAATATTTCAAAACAAAAGCTAACAATGACCATAATATATTAAGATAATTTTACACAGTTGTCCATTTAAATGTACATTGGGCCATGAACTTATAAAAGAAAAAGCATATAGATATTAATCTTCATATTACCTTATTTCCACCCCTCAAAGAAGCCTCCCTGATGTCCCATTTGGGATAAAAGTCTGCTGGCCTTGTAACATAAATAATTGCTCTATTACCTTGGACAATTAGATGACTATAAGCCATACTTCTCTCATTTGTAAAATGGAAGTACTAAAACTTACATTACTTTTAGGACAAATGAAGGATTTTAGACTTTACTATCAATGATATACTTTCAAGGTATTTTAAACAATCAATGCTATAATCAAATTTATCTTTAGTATATTTTTGAACTGTGGGGAATGGGGAGTAAGTATTGATAAAGTAAATCCAGTTAGGAGGCCTAAGGTAAAAATAATGATCTTGGAGTATGGCTGAGGAGAACTGGAATATTCTGTGGAAGATTCCTTAGCAATTAACCACATCTGAGAAGTGAGATGGAACTGTCAAGGCTGAATCCCAGGTGGCTGATCTGAGCAACTGTGCAGATTCTGACATCACTTCCGGGGATGGATAAGTTTGTCTCTCCTGGGAGTAGATTTTATGGTGTTCATGGAGTGGAGGGGAGATGATTGAGTTCATTTTAATCTGAGTTGGAAGCACCAAGAGCCACTCCAGTGAAACTATTGAATAAGGGTATTCAGAGAGCACAGAGGGAGTTGTGTTGAATAACTACAGGGTTTGTTGTTGGGAGCATTTAGTAGGACATAACGATTGAAGTTTAGAATATTTATTTATGTGTGTGTGGGGGGCAGTTACTGGGGCTTGAACTCAGGGTCTCATGTTATAGTTTATGTTTTTTTTTTCTCTTTCCCTCAAAGCTGGCACTCTACCACTTAAGCCACACTTCCACTTCCTGATTTTGCTGGTTAAGTGAAGATCGGAGTTTCACAAACTTTTCTGCCCAGACTGGCCTTGAACCAGATCCTCAAATCTCAGTCTCCTGAGTAGTTAGGATTACAGGCGTGAGCCACTGGTGCCTGCTTGTGAGAGGGTATTTTTTTGTAAATATTAAAAATTGTTATTATAAAGGAATGTTCAGAAGGTTTACAGTTATATGTCAGGTAAAGAATACATTTCTTTTTGGAAAATTTCACTATTTCCCTTGCTTGTGAGAGGGTATTTTAAAGGTTGAGTTAGGAATGTAAAATTTTAAAAGGATAAGAAAACAGTGTAAGCTCCTAGATAAGGAGAATAACTAGTTGTTCGGTAAGAAGGCTTTGAAAGGCTTGTGAGACTCTAAAGGAGATTTAAGAGATAGGAATTTGGGGAAGATGACAAGATCCAGGACTTCTATGAGAGTGAGTAGGTAGGTAAAGTGAAGGAGATCACTTGAGAGATGAGATGAACGTACAGTATTGGCTGGGTCATTCATATAGATGCTGAAGGAAATGAAAAAGGATGGAAGCTATGAGCTAAAAACTTTTGAGAATGAAAAGAGATACTCAAAAATTAGTAAAAGGCAACAACAAAGACA